CGGTAAAATTAAGCTTGGACTGCCAGTCCTTGTGGACCGGCAAATTAAGTACCTTGTAAATCTTTGTTGTTGAACAAAACTTTGGTGATATTCATATAAGTACATGTTTTAACAAAGTCAGCTTGTCTGCTACCATCAGGGCCTGGTCTATTCCTAGGTTAAATATCCATTTGTAGTGGCTACGTCTTGAAATATTTTTTAAAAAAGAGAAAATTGTGACTGAAGTTTGTGTGAATGACGTTAAGATATAACTAAGTTACTTGCACTGAACATGATGTTGAAAGAATTAAAACCTAATAATTTTCATACATTTTTTAATTTGTTGAAAGTTGGGACTGGTAAAAATTAGGGGGGGGGGGGGGGGGACTGGTAATTTTTAGAGCTAATTTTCAAAAGCCAGCGGGAACACTGATGATTGGGTCCATTAATAACTGATGTGAAGGTGAAGTGAAATGGGGTTTAGAATACTGCACTTATAAAGCGACGTGCATGCACATGTGTGTGTGAGTGTGTGTCTGCATGCATGCATGCGTGCGTGCGTAGCTGCTTGCACTAGTCCGGACTGATGCCGATGTATAGAGCTAACATACTGAGATATCATGCCGCAGTTTTAACATGAATACCCCACTCAGACACAGTATACTGACTCTGAGCCGACCAGTGCTTGTTTTATTCCTTTAATACCGAGCGCCAGGCACACTAACAACAAGTATCATCTTTTAACGTCTTTTCGTATGACCTTCCGCTATCCGGGCGGACGCTCTACCACTAGACCAAGGAGGCGGTCTTATAAATAACTGACAAACCAGACAATAAACTAGACAATCCAGTGATTGACACCATGATCATAGATCCACACAATTAGATACGATGACATCAACCGAGGCAGTGAGCCTGATCACCTGATCCAGTTACTTGCCTTGTGCGACAAGCATCGTTAGTGTGGAAGTACATTCTTACCCAGAATCCCAATGGACTGAAGACAAGCTGAGTTCTGATATCAGATAACAGTACACATGAGTGGGATAGTGAGTGAGTATAGTTTTACACCGCTTTTAGGAATATTCAAGCAATATCACGGCGGGGGACACCAGAAATGGGCTTCACACATTGTACCCATGTTTGGAATCGAACCTGGGTCTTCAGCATGATTGATGAGCAAACGCTTTAACCACTAGGCTACCTGACCACCCCAGTACACAAGAAGATACTCCCCTTGTCGTAAAGATATTATCACAAGATGATTTGAACATAGGTGCCAGGAATGAAATTAATATTCACTTCAATAATTCTATAAAATTTGATGATTAAACCGGTTCCACTTACTTTTTGGGCAGAGAAAATGACCAGATGATTTTAGGAGCCTGAAACACATGAGCATACATGACACAAACAAATTACCTCAAATCTCAGTTTTGAAAGTACAAATCGAATATAATACTGTATTCAAACAAACAAAAAATATTCTTTCAATGGTGCCTTTTCCCTCACCTTCTTGCGACAAAGATTATAACATGAACATTAACCTTTACACAAGCTCTCAAATCAACAATTCTATCTAAGACCCTGCATCATACATTTCCCACAGTATCTTATTCAAGATGTCTGCCCACCTCCATGCACAGATGTCTCCTTCCCCAGCACTGGAACAACAGAGAATTATTACTAATAATATTAGTGAGAGATATAGCAGGAACACAGTCACAGTATTTCAGGTAGGCCACAATTACTAAATTAACATCCCTTTTTTGTTCAAATATATTGCCACTGAATCATAACTGACCTGACTTGTGTCAGTTTGAAATGCCATAGTGGTGAGAAATATTTCAGTAAATTAATGCAGTTAAATCACTTGTATAAAGTTTTTGCTTTGACAGGTTGAGGAGGATGCAAGTGGGCCATTACAGAACGCTTGCGTGACTACTTGTACTATGCACCAGGGTTTACAGTTTACAGTCACAATAACCCGTTAATGGTTCTACTGGCCGCTCAAGACAGAAAGACGAAATGTAACCAAGGAATGCAGGTGCTTGAAGGATCGCAAACCCAATCAGCCCACTAGAGCCCCATTGCAACTTATATCTACACCAGCTCCCTTCGAGTTAGTCTCTATTGTCTTCCTCCACCTAGCGCCATGATATAACTGGAATACTGTCAAAACCGTTGTTAAACTCAACTCATTCACTCACTCACTCACTCAATCATCTACCTGGAGAAAAGTGTAGGTGGCTGTGAATACATCCTCGTCGTTTGTGATCACTTTACGAGGTTTTCTCCAGCCTATGCCACTAGAAACAAATATGGTAAAACAGCAACGGATAAGATATTTAATGATTTTTGTGCTGAAGTTTGGATTTCCGTCAGAGCTCCATCATGACCAGGTTACAGAGCTCGAGAACCGTCTCTTCCGTCAACTTCAGAAATATTGCTGGATGGCAAGATCGTGACCAACACCCTATCACCCAGATGGAAACAGACAGGTTGAACGTTTCAATCGGACTCTCTTAGGTATGTTGAGAACCCCACCCAGCCAAATGAAGACCAACTGGAAGGATCACTTGCATAAAGTTGTGCATGCTTATAATTGTACTCGTAACGACGCAACTGGTTTTTCACCCTTCTACCACCTCTTTGGACGCTCACCACGACTGCCAGTGGATCTGATGTTTGGACTGGACCAGGACATATCAGGTGCCAAACCTAGCAAGTATGAAGAACAATGGAAACATTGTATGACGCAGGCATACGAACAAGCTCACAAACAGGCATCAGAGTTCTCGTCAAGGCAAGCACCAGTATGACAAGAAAGTAAGGAGCACAACTCTTCTTTCAGGGGACCAAGTACTCGTAAGAATTATGTCAGAACGAAGAGGACCTGGTAAGGTCAGATCGTATTGGGAACCAAAGATCCATGTAGTGGTGAAACGAGCAACAGAGGATGGACCTGTGTATGGTAATGGACGCACCAGAGTGCTACACAGGAATATGTTGTTGCCTTGCAATGGGTTACCAGTAGAGATCCAGAAGACACAGCAAACCAAGTTGAAAGGTCCTAGACTCGAGATTGTGAGACCAAAAACTGAGCCTAGACAGAACCTCCCAAAGTGCCCATAAGTGAAAGTGACACATAACTCCTCAAAAATGATTATTGAAAGTGGCAAAGATGTACGGAAAATGGTGCAGGAAGTAGCAGTGACAGTAAAGAATCTCATGTCTCTGATGAGAGTGACTCAGGGGAGTCTGTGGGTGATAGAGACAACAGTGAGGGAACAGCTACAGGGCGAAATGCCTAAGATGATAGTGCAAGTGACGCCAATGCTAAACCCGAGACTGACAGTTGTCAGGTACACCCCCAACATGTTGTTACTCAGACTTCAGCAAACACTGACTTTGCAGATAATAAGAGTAATTAAACTCATCGGCGATGAAGGAGACGTCGCAGACTTCCACCAGCGAGGTTGACATTAGACACCATCGAGAACCATTCAATGTACAGACCCGGGGTAACTCTAAATACGATGGGACCAGCATGGCCCATGCTACCAAACCCATGGTGGTATCAACCGTTCCAGATGATGGTACCTTAGGCAGTTGTCAACCCAGTCATGTATCCTATTCACCATAGAGCTTAGAGTGAATGTGTGAGTTCTTGATGTGGTGTAAACTCCTCTAGTTTTCTCATTCTTTGTGAAACAAATGTGTGATACAAATTGTTAGAATTTGTACAAGGCTGAATAACCTAGCTCATGTGTTAACATTATTGTTAGAAACTTTGAAATTTTGTATGACATTTTTCAAAGCTCTGTAAGTTTTATTCACATGTTGCAGGTATTGCCTGTTTGCTGTGTAAAGTTTGATTGTGTGATGTGTTTTATTGAGCCAAAGATTATATATTTTTCTGTTTCACAGTCGGTTTGTAAACAAATACGAGTGGTTTTCATTGCAAGTTAGTTTATATACGTTTGGTAAAAAGTACTGTTCGCATGCATGTTGTGAAATGTCGGGTCGACATTCATTTAGGCGGTGTGGATGTAAGATTGTGGGGAAAGGTGTGTATCTGAGATTTACGGTCTAAGGGAGGCAACTCTATTATGCTCGCTCCAAACCACGCTTGCCGGAATTGGCCAATCACGTTGCAGCGCGCACTCTTGTCTGTGTGTCGACAGCTAATTGACATTTCTTCTGTATGGTTTCAACCGACAAATCGGAATTAAAACAATTCCACAACATAGATACCTTCTAAAAGGATCACTTGTCACGCTATATATTATTACCATGTCCCGTATAGATCCGGGTTATAAGTAATCTTCAGCAACCCTTGCTTGTTGTAGGGGCGGTCGGGTAGCCGAGTGGTTAAAGCGTTCGCTCGTCACGCCGAAGACCCAGGTTCTCTTCCCAACATGGGTACAATGTGTGAAGCCCATTTCTGGTGCCCCCCCCCCCCGCCGTGATATTGCTTGGTCAAGCTTGCTGAGTTGGTTGATGCATGTCATCATATCCATCCCAATTACGTGGATAGATGCTCATGATGACAATCCCTGGATTCTCTGGTCCAGACTCGCTTATTTACAGACCGCCACCATAGAGCTAGAATATTGCCGACTGCGGAGTTTAACAACAAAGGACACAATTACCTATTTTATGACTAACTCAAGTAGAACAGGTCTTCAGCAAGCCATGGTTGCCGTAAAAGACGACTATGCTTGTCGTAAATGGCGACTAACGTTATCGGGTGGTCAGGCTCGCTGACTTGGTTGATACATGTCATCGATCCCAATTGCGTGGATCGATGCTCATGATATTAATCACTGGATTGTCTGGTCCAGACTCGATTATTTACAGACCGCCGTCATATAGATGGAATAATGCTGAATGCGGCGTTAAACAACAAACAAACAAAAAACCGTTCGTCGGGCACTCAGCATTAAAAAAGTTTCAGTGCTATACTGACGCAAGGGAAGACCCTGACGGTTAAGGGTAACACAATGTGAATAAATATCTAACAAAATTATTTTTATTTGACAGCAGCATGTATTGACTGGTTACATGTGGGCACGACGTTTCCGTCACTGGATCGAGCATGTCTCAAATTTCCAGCGCCTGTCACTGCAACAGAATATATGCATCTGAAAATGTATACATATGATCCCAAACAAGAGCTCAAACGTTTAGTCAAACTATTTTACAGTCAAACACAGACGTTGTTTCCACCCATTTTAACAGAGTCATACAACATGTTATAAACATTATCATAAAATAAAGACTTTCATTGACTTGTCAAGATATCTTAACATAGGAACGAATAATTTCGTTATTTGATAAGCGTCCCACTTTAAAGTGTTCTCTCTGAAAGGAGCGTGTAGATTCTTCATTTCTCATATAAAATTGGAAATATACAAACTGAAACATTGCTTTCTAAATTTGATGAATGAAAAACTGACAGAAGACAACCCAGTGATTGACATCATGAACATCGATATACGCAATGGTAATGTGAAATGAGGGTTAACGTCGCGTCCAAGACCATTGCACTTACATAGCAACGTGCCTTAACCTCTGTGTGTGTGTGTGTGTGTGTGTGTGTGTGTGTGTGTGTGTGTGTGTGTGCTTGTACTAGTCCGGACTAATGCCGATTTTATGGTGCCAGCCCACTGAGATACCATGCCGCAGTTTAACATGAATACCCCACTCAGACACAGTATGCTGACTCCGAGCCGACCAGTCCTTGTTTTAGACCCTTAATGCCGAATGCAAGACAGGGTAACAACGAGTACCATCTCTTATTGTCCTTTGCGGACCTTACGCTCTCAGGACGGACGCGCTACCACTAGACCACGGAGTATCTACGCAATTGGGATACGTTTGCTTGTTTGTTTGTTGTTAAACGCCGCACTCAGCAATATTCCATCTATATGACGTCGGTCTGTAAATAATCGAGTGATTGACATCATATGAATCGGTCCACGCAATTGGGATACGATGACATGCATCAACCAAGTCAACGAGTCTGACCACCTGATCCCGTTAATCGCCACTTACGACAAGAATAGTTGCCATTTACGGCAAGCATGGGTTACTGAAGACCTATTCTACCCCGGATCTTCACGGGTTACCGCATTGTTCATTGATAAGGGACCAAAGATTTGAAATCATACAATTTAATTGTGGGCAAGTGAACATCAGTGTCCTAGTTCCAGTAACTTTTTTTCAGAATTGGTGGTCGCTTGAGCGGTTGATAAGCTCGTGTCAACGTCGCTCATAATATCAGTCAATGGTTTGTCTAACTCGAGTACTTACACCATATTGTCTGTGAAGATCCGGAGTAGAATAGGTCTTCGGCATCCTAGGCTTACCGTAAAAGGCGACTATGCTTGTCGTGAAAGGCGACTAACGGGATCGGGTGGTCAGGCTCGCTGACTGGGTTAAAACATTGTTTGACTTGTTTGATGCATGTCATCGTTACCCAATTGCGTGGATCGATGCTCATGATAGCAATCACTGGATTGTCTGGTCTAAACTCGATTGTTTACAGACAGCCGTCATATAGCTGAAATATTGCTGAGTGGGGCGTTAAACAAACAAATAAAACAAAGTTAGAATTGTTTAGCGCCTAAATATGTGAGACAGCATCATGCAGAGCAATGCACTTACTGGTAATAGTTACTGTAAGTGCTGGAGACTCCCCTCAAGAAGTGTCTTATAGGCACCCTGAAGGTGAGCCTCTGATCCCAATTGTTGACAAAGTCGGTCTTGACACAATGCGCCAAATATGGGCTACCTGAAAGAGATATGTCGCAAGAATGTTATGTAAACAATACGTTGACAACTAGATCTGGTATTTAAATCCCAAATGAACATTATTGTTGTCGCCATTCCAATTACCAGAAGTGATTATTAATAACAGGCCCATTTTCACGACCATGAGGTATTTTGCACCGCAATTACATTTACGGAATCATAACGAAAAATGAACTGTGTTAAATAACATATTTTACAGAAACATGAATTTTGACTAGTTACATGTAAGTGACACCATGTGTTTTTTAAAGATGTGTGCTGACGTACCTAGCAGGGAACAACAGAGGAACGTAAATAGTCGGTCTTCGTGCCGGTTTTCATGATAGCTGCTGACGCCCCTAATGACGGCATCTTTGGGGCATTGGAAAGATAGCGGTCCTTTCAATTTGTTCACATTGTCTGAAAGAGTGATTGGATGATTAGTGGGTTAATGCCACTTTTATCAGCAGTTCTGTCTAAGCAGTGGCTAAGGTAGCAGGTCAAATGTTTAATGCAGGATAAATGTTCCTAAAGTTTTAAGACCAACCCCGAAAAAGATAATCGTCATAACAATTCAAGCGAATCCTACTTTGTAGTGATTCATCATGCTTTTCATGCAACATGCCGCTGGCGTGCGAGTATTTCCGACTGATCTAGTGGATAGAGCGTCTGCCCGGTTGGTTGGTTCGTTGGTTTGTTGTTTAACGCCTCACTCAGCAATATTCCAGCTATATGACGGCGGTCTGTAAATAATCGAGTCTGGACCAGACAATTCAGTGATTGACATCCTGAGCATCGATCCACGCAATTGGGAGCGATGACATGAATCAATCAAGTCAGCGAGTCTGACCACCGAGAGAGGTGGTTCGATTTATTAACTGTAAATCTTTTCTTTTCGGATATCAACCTTGTAGACCAATAGAGCCATGTTTAAAATAAGAATTCTGTCAGCAGTTTTAGAACACCATTGCTCTAAAAAAGAGTTCACCTATATTAACACGGGCGTTTCCACAGACAATAAAAAGTCCACCGACAATAGAAAAACGGCGATATATGACGGTCAAAGATTAGAGGTCGTATGTGAAGTTCAAAGTGTCGAAAAATAAAGATTTTGTCTTTTCAAGTCCTTACCACCATAGTGCTATTCAAATGTATGGATTTCACTCTGGCTTCAGTATCAAGATGAATTGCGCACACAGAAAGTAAACTACGGTTTTAACGAACTCAAAGGGGGGCACTATTTTTAGTTCGTTATAACCATAGTTCGTTATAAGCATATGTATAGCATATATACAGCAGTCGCTGGGACAAAAAAAAGAGTTCGTTATAAACGTAGTTTTCTGTATGTCACTTACTATGCCAGTGACAGTTGAATAGTTGAGGTGTTTTCTGACAGATGAACTTGTAGCGTCTGTCTTCATAGTAGTTACTATGATAGCTTTCCCAGTAAGCAATGGACTCCCCCAAAGGACATATGTACTGGAAACGCTCGTCAAAGTCGTTGACATATGATGACGTCACGGCAGAGACAAGCGACAGCAGCAGAAACGCAGTCTGGAAGCAGTGAAGGGTTTGTTGTGTGTTTGTTGTTTAACGCCGTACTCAGCAATATTTCAGCCGTATGACGGCGGTCTGTAAATAATCGAGTCTGGACCAGACAATCCAGTGATTGACATCATGAGCATCGATCCACGAAATTGGGATACGATGACATGCATCAACCAAGTCGGCGGGCCTGACCACCCGATCCCGTTGGTCGCCTTTTACGACAGGCATGGGTTGCTGAAGACAAATTCTACCCCGGATCTTCACGGATGTAGGATGTAAGTAACGTGCAGTGTGAAATGTTATGTAAAATATTTCTTGTCAAAGAAAACTTTTACTTCTTGTGAGAAGAACATAATAACATAATCTATCGGCAAGGTTTTCCAATCAATAATTGCCGAAAAGGCGAATGTTTTAAATCTAACCTTGGTGATAAATGAGATAATACATGTTTAAACAATGGAAAGAAACTAATTGCTGCTAAGTATTTCATTACTGAAATGATCTTATTATATACATTCTTTTCAATGAATATATAAATTGAATATCAAACTCGGTAATGAAAAAACACTACTTTGAGGTATACTGGTAACTTTAAAATACATTTCCCACTGCAATTATTCCAACCAAAGAAAAAACTTGTCATACTTACAGGGAACATCATAGTGTGAACACACAGCGCCTTGGACTACATGCACTGTGCGCCAGTATATATACATGTATACCATCTGTAACTCCCGCACCGTGTACGTTGTGATTGGTTATTGGTCGTCAGTTGTTTCTACGGTGATTGGAGGGAGTCACATCTGACGTTTAAATTACACCCTGGGCGCAATAAATTATCTTGACAATATGTGGCTATGAAAGTATTAGTTTACTGAATATTTAACCTTCAATTCTAACATTAATTTTTAAGTCAATACCTGTCAGGTTCTAACATGCCCGTTAGTGTGTGGCTTAAGCTTAACACTCGGCGTAAAAAATGTGCATGTAAAAGTTAAAATTTAAGAAAATGTAAAACAGTGGACATAATCTGTACAAACACTCCACTTGTTCGAACTCCTTTAACTCCATATATCATTGAAGATAATGTAACATCGTGAACCATAATCTGTATCAACACAACACTTCTTCGAACTCCTTTAACTCGCTATATCATTGAAGATAATGTAACATTGCCAACCATAATCTGTAGCAATACTCTGCTTGTTCGATCTCTTTTATCTCGCTATATCATTGAAGATAATGTAACATTGTGAACTGTAATCTGTACCAACACTCCACTTCTTCGAACTCTTTTAACTCGCTATATCATTGAAGATAATGTAACACATCGGACATAATCTGTATCAACACCCCAGTTGTTCGAACTCCTTTAACTCGCTGTATCATTGTAAATAATATGGTGAACCGTAATCTGTATCAAAACTCCAGTTGTTCGAACTCCTTTAACTCGCTGTATCATTGTAAATGATGTAACGTCGTGAACCGTAATCTGTATCAACACTCCAGTTGTTCGAACTCCTTTAACGCGCTATATCATTGTAAATAATGTAACGTCGTGAACCATAATCTGTATCAACACTCCAGTTGTTTGAACTCCTTTAACTCGCTGTATCATTGAAGATAATGGAACGTCGTGAACCTTAGTCTGTATCAACACTTCATTTGTTGGAACTCCTTTAACCCGCTATATCATTGTAAATAATGTTATGTCCTGAACCGTAATCTGTATCAACACTCCAGTTGTTCGAACTCCTTTAACGCGCTATATCATTGTAAATAATGTAACGTCGTGAACCATAATCTGTATCAACACTCCAGTTGTTCGAACACCTTTAACTCGCTGTATCATTGTAAATAATGTAACGTCGTGAACCGTAATCTGTATCAACACTCCAGTTGTTCGAACTCCTTTAACGCGCTATATCATTGTAAATAATGTAACGTCGTGAACCATAATCTGTATCAACACTCCAGTTGTTCGAACTCCTTTAACTCGCTGTATCATTGTAAATAATGTAACGTCGTGAACCGTAATCTATATCAACACTCCAGTTGTTCGAACTCCTTTAACTCGCTGTATCATTGTAAATAATGTAACGTCGTGAACCATAATCTGTATCAACACTCCAGTTGTTCGAACTCCTTTAACTCGCTGTATCATTGTAAATAATGTAACGTCGTGAACCATAATCTGTATCAACACTCCAGTTGTTCGAACTCCTTTAACTCGCTGTATCATTGTAAATAATGTAACGTTGTGAACCGTAATCTGTATCAACACTCCAGTTGTTCGAACTCCTTTAACTCGCTGTATCATTTCAAATAATGTAACGTCGTGAACCATAATCTGTATCAACTCTCCAGTTGTTCGAACTCCTTTAACTTGCTGTATCATTGTAAATAATGTAACGTCGTGAACCTTAGTCTGTATCAACACTTCATTTGTTTGAACTCCTTTAACTCGCTGTATCATTGTAAATAATGTAACGTCGTGAACCATAATCTGTATCAACACTCCAGTTGTTCGAACTCCTTTAACTCGCTGTATCATTGTAAATAATGTAACGTCGTGAACCGTAATCTGTATCAACACTCCAGTTGTTCGAACTCCTTTAACTCGCTGTATCATTGTAAATAATATAACGTCGTGAACCATTATCTGTATCAACACTCCAGTTGTTTGAACTCCTTTAACTCGCTGTATCATTGAAGATTATGTAACGTCTTGAACCATAATATGTATCAACACTCCAGTTGTTCAAACTCCTTTAACTCGCTGTATCATTGTATATAATGTAACGTCATGAACCATAATCTGTATCAACACTCCAGTTGTTTGAACTCCTTTAACACGCTGTATCATTGAAGATAATGTAACGTCCTGAACCTTAGTCTGTATCAACACTCCATTTGTTCGAACTCCTTTAACCCACTATATCATTGTAAATAATGTTACGTCGTGAACCATAATCTGTACCAACACTCCAGTTATTACTGGGTTTGACACGTCAGAATGACATTCTTTGTCACAAACTATGTCATCTAAAATTACGTTGTCACAATTTCTGGGGAAGTGGTTTGGTCAACTCGACTTGTGACATCCGGGAATGTTGTCCTTTATGAACACATAGGTTCGGGGAGTTGTGTTCGTGATATTTAATTTTGTTTAACGCCGCAATATTCCAGCTATATAAGGGCATGCTGTAAATAATCAAATGTGGAACAGACAATCCAGTGATTGTCATCATGAGCATCGATCTAAGGATATGATGACATGCATCAATCAAGTCAGCGAGCCTGACCATCTGATCCCGTTAGTCGCCTTTTACAGCAAGCATGTGTTGCTGAAGACCTATTCTAACACGGAGTGCGGCGTTAAACAACAAACAAACAAAACATCATTGCTGTCAATGAAGATGGCCATAGGCGGGTCCAGAGGATGGGTCCAGGTGTTTCAGACATCGGTCAGATAATTATGAGCCAAATTCCAGTTAACATGCTAGGTGTACTTAAGACACGCTGTATCATAATCAACTTGAGAAATATAGGGCACAAGTCTGTCTTACAGAGGGAACACTAATAGGTGAGGTGAGGTGAAATTGGGTTTAACGTCGCGTCCAAGATTATTGCACTTATATAGCGACGTGCATGCACGTGTATGTGTGTGTGTGGCTGCTTGTACTAGTCCGGACTGATGCCGATTTATAGTGCTAGCTCACTGAGATACCATGCCGCAGTTTAACATGAATACCCCACTCAGACACAGTATACTGACTCCAAGCCGACCAGTCCTTGTTTTAGCCCCTTAATGCCTCTCTACCACAAGACCACGGAGGCGGTCTGGGAACACTAATAAGGCACATCACTGAAACATTAATGAAAACAAGTAGCTAGTAGTAGTAAGTAGCTCTATGTAATTAAACATACGAAGTAATGCATTTTCTATTTTCATAATTACTTTCTTAGTTTAGGGAATAATCTCAAAGGATATGTTGCAAGCATGGAATACCCATTCTACCCCGATTCATCACGGGTCACGGTGTAGAAGTGTAGATGAAACGACGAATGGGAGTTGTTTGTCGTTCAATAAGACACTGCAGGGAGAATAAACCATGATGGCCACAGCCCCTGAATCATGAGTCTTGTGAGAATGGAACTGCGACCCGAATAACAGAAATACGTCGCATGGAAACAAGGTGGTCCAATGTCCACATTTGACCAAAAATGATATTTTTACATTTTCTTTCCAAATGGATGCTTTTCTAACAGGGGGCACGGGTGTTCCAGTCGTCTCAGGCGCCGCGATTCGCTGTGCAGAGTTGCGTCCCTTGGGCACGCCAGAAACCTATGATTGTGGGTTCGAATCCCGGTTCGCCCCAATTATGTTTCTATGTTTTTTCCGTGCTCGTGGGTTTCACCGAAGTGGTAAACATCTGAGACCTGCATCACTTCGGGCTTTCCTCCCACATTAAGCTGACGTGCCGTGATATAACTTGAATAATATTAAAAGCGGCGTTAAACTCAACTCAGTCACTCACTCACTTTTCTAACATTGTTGTAAATTGAATCCCCTGTTGCTGGAATGTAGATTTTCAGTGGTTCTACGTCCAAAAACTCCTAAGTTGCTTTCAAGCAGAATGTTTTGTGACCATGTCTATGTTCATGTCCAGTCAAATTCTTGGCACAGATCATGTGACAAGGAGATGGGACCGCATACTTCCAATTCGTTTTATCAACCGTAGAATGTGAACATTGGGACTGAATTTTATTATCTGTCAGCTGAAATACTGAATAAAAGATGATGACTTCATTACAATAAGCAGTCTGGAGTATATCATTTCTCCTTTGCTTGACAAAATAGTGAACAGTGAGAAAGTGTTAACCATTCTTTCCATATGTTGAATTCCAAATGTGACTTAAAAACAATCTCAGCTCTCTTTTGTAAAGAAAGAAATTCTCAGCCTCTAAAAATGAAGGAAACATAAGTATAACATTCGACGCGGGGGAAGAAAACATGCGGCTTTTCAACCCCACATGCTGTCGACACAAGGCCTCTACTTGTATTGATCTTATTATAAAATAACTTGTACCATAAGTTCAGGTAGGTTCCCAAAAGGCTTTCTGTTTGCTGCTCAGGACCAGTCACGTCCCAGCCGTATCCATACATATATGTGTTTAGTAGACATTTTACATGATGGGGCCCAATTTGGGTGCCAATTCTTCCATACAATAACATCACATCATAAAATGTCTTAGGTAATATGTGCAATGGCATATTAAGCTGTTTTATCCAATGCCTTGGCCGCATGCACATAACTATGTAACGTGGTACTCGTCTACATTCGTGTTTTACTTTTAAAATGATATTTATCTGCCCTCTGTTGGTCTTTTCTTAAGAATGTGTACTATAAAGCTCTCGTCAATACATGTCTAGATTATTGCCGATGCGTCGTTAAAGTTTCGTCAAACACGCTTTTACCAAACCATGTATTTGATGATTTGAATTTACTCAATGTATGATAAATTACCATAATGTAGCTTCGGTGTTCTTGATACAAAACTGTTGGCTGTATCAATAAGTTATTTTGTATCTTGGTAGAGGTTTTGTTTTCTTATCGCCTGATGATCAAAGAACGATTTAAACAATCCACAATTAAACGCACTCAAACGTGAGCAGCTAACAATGTCTCCATAACCTGTTACGTAGTACATGCTGTTGTTGTTGTTGTTTTTGGTGGTAATGGTGGTGATGGTGGTGGTGGCAAGATCACAACCATTAGTATTATTATCAAG